ATAATATACTTCTGCGAGCGCGATAACAGGCCATTTTACAGGCATGATCTACAAATTACAACATTTACCGGTTCACAGTATGCATCCCAAGCAATGTTGTTAAATAAATACAATCTATAAAAGTGAACATTTCATTCCATCAGATATACTAAGTACGGTCTTCAAAATATTTTCCAAAGTGTCATCGCATCTACGTTACACACCAGATCCAATCTTGGCATAATTGTGTTTGGATTTTGGTCGTGCTAAGTATTTATGCAATACAACTTTTAAGTTTATAGTTGTTATAAAGTAGGTTTATAGAACGCTTGGTGCGAACTATGACCCTGAGAAAACGCGTACGTCGAGTTTGTTCCAGATATCAGAATTTTCTTATCTGTGTCCTCAGAGCAAGATTCTGAAAAAAAGAGAAACAAAGGAGCAGCAAGACACTTGGATATGAACGATAAACAATACTTGACATTTTGTAGTGGAACAGACAGAGGTATGATAACTTATTAGATTCATTCATACTAGCTTTTGTAGCTAGAGTAAAATATGACCAGAAACTCCAGATGAGAGAATGCAGTAATATTTATCAAGGCGGAGTGAGTTCGGATGAAGGGAAAGAAGTGAAGGTTGTGATAAGGAAGGCTGTTTACTAGAACAAAAAGTGCATATAGAGAGTAAAGTGTTAAGAAAATTAATAATTATATCTTTTATTGTCCGATTTTTTATATATTTTTTCATCCGATGTCATGACAATGTTCTATGGCGATACCCTGAAATCATTATGTTTAACTAGTTGTAGTGTTAATTGAACATTAGCCAGTTGAAAATGGGTATTTTTGTTCTAGGTGCTTCCGAGATAGCAGAAGTTTGGAGCGTGAAGAATCCGAGCTGCCTGATTATATTACTAAGTGTAATTTAAAAAAATCTACATAGTATTAGTGTTAGTTTTAGTAGCGGGCTCCGAAGTTTTGATTTTAAATATTTTTTAGCCAACAACTACCTGATAGTTCAGTTATTATACTGGTGCAGTATGATAGTATCTGAATTTGTAACTTCATTATTTAAACTACATTCGTCTTTTTGGGCTACAAATATGATAGACCAATTCATAAGCCCAAATACGTATAGGAATATTGACTATGACGGGCTTATTGAAAATATTAGAGGCGATTCAAATGATTTTTAAATTCGAAAGACAGAGATATAATGCAATGCATGTATGGGTCAGGTTTAACATGTAGGTTGTTGAGGTGTATGACAAGTTAAAATTAATAAACATGGCCATAAAAATATTTTTAAACTTAAGACACCTAGTGAAACTTTAGGTAGGAATGTGATGAGTTATAAAATTTTCATAAGTTCCTGTATTTAGCCAAGCAACATTTACAAATATGACGCAAAAGCAACCGAAAATTAGAAATGTCCTTAAACAACACACTTTTCCTTAATAGCATGAAGCTATTAAATATTTCTTATAGCAAAAACATTTGTGGAGTGGTTCGTATGCAATATATACGATTAGTCTCAGTGTGAATATATATATGATAAGTACAGTAAAACATCCAGAAAAATAGTTAGGCTATTTTGATTTATTTTTGGGACTAAGATTATTCAGTAGATTTGACATATATGAGGCAATTTGTGACTAGTAGTAATGATCCAAAAGCATCCAGAATAAAAGATGTAGTCTGTCAACTAATTCCAGGGTGCTTGGTGCTGTTGAGGTTTCTGTGGCTCTCTCGAATCAGAACGATTGAGTGAATCCAGGCAATTGTGTGGGTTTCATGCTACGAAACATCTAAAATGGCCTTATGATTACCAAAAATTTATGGACTAAACCGATTGTAAGCTTCCTCGATGTTAACTTCGTTGTTTGGCAATGGAACTCGGAAGATGGAAATTAGGGAGGCAGTGGTTGGGAGAAAACATATCATGAGATAGTGCATAGTTTAAAACAGATTGAAACGTAAGGTGAAGAAAGAATATGAAAAACTAGGTCCAGATAACTATTTAGTCTCTGCTCACGTCACCAGTCAATATATATACATTATTCACAGGTCATATTTGCTAGAGTTTGATGTTCAACAAACTTATTTCTCTTAAGCACATAAACGCTATTAAAACTTGTCAATGAAGCATCAAAGCTCATCAAGAAAACGATCCGTATCCAGACCAGAAGATGCAGATGATCCTGATTGTTTTGGCGCCACATTAAGTATGGTAAGTCTTCCAGAGATTGCAGAAAAACACTTTAGTTTTCCTAAGGCCAAACCTATTACGATGAACCATTTAAGAAACATCCCCACCGACAAGCCTTAGTAGAAACTGCGAACCTGGCCGTCTGTAATGCATCATTGATTTGATGATGAAATTTCGCCACCTCATTGACACTGGCTCAGAAATAAGCGTTTTTCCTGCGAATTCGAAAGATTATTTGCACGAACCGGTCTTCAAACTAAAAGTGGAATATGGAAACTGGTCGCCACATACGGTAGCGGATACATTTATTTTAACATGAGTTTACACAAACCCATTCTCTGGATTCGTGTTCGCACAAACTTTCATGCGAATCATTGGCACAGTCCTGCTACAACCTAACCTACGCAAAGACGCAAGCAAACAGCAGTTAGTTTGCATAAGTACTGATCTATCTGATTGTGAAACTTCATTTTCTGGTCGTAGGTTACGCCCAGTCACAGTAAGTTACACGATCGATCCATACTATCAACAAATATCCGATAAGCAACCCGAGATATACCAAACGCGACTACATACCGGGACATCAGAGTACCAACCAGTATCGTAATAGACGCGTGGTGGCATTGGGCACTATCCACACAAACCTTAAGGCTGAACACGAGACAACTGGGAGAATACATAATCAACATTTAACGCAGAGAAAAACCCAACGATGGAGAATGCGGGAACAGGCAATGGAAAGGATTCGAATTGACCAGATGACATGACTCAAACTCGCAGGCGTGGTCACTATCGAGCGTAGTAACATAATATTCTGTCCATATTAAATATATTGTTCTATATCCAGCCTAAATGTGTCCTTCATCATATGTTGATAATTCTTATTACGCGATGAGTTGGCGTAGACAACGATGTGACTTCCGCAATTTTAGGATCAGGTCTATTATTAGAGCACTACTAATATCATAGTACATTCCAATTCTACAGATCTAGTGCCTCGTCAGTATTATTATCACCGCTTGTTCTTCAACAGTTGGGCTTCGTTGTGATATATTTCCCCTGAATTGTTGGTATTTCAGACCTCCTGATCAGGACTATGGGTTTGCTCCTAAACAACCTCGTGATATGCAAATTCGCGTGATATCGTAGCAGGCAGCAGTTCACATCGTAATGAGGTATCCTAAATTCACAGACGACTAATTATATAAGCTGTTAGAATTTTACTCAATATATCTGACTTTAATGATCTGATACCAGACAACGCTTTTGCGAACCTTCACTTTGGGTCGAGTTTGAAGAAATTTTCTAATTTACAATAGTTCTTCAAAGAGATATAGGTTACCGAAATAATACATATATTTGGGCATAACATGATAACAGTTAACGGCTAGGCCACATGCAAGTTCATACCTTTTTTACTACGACAGGATATCTGAAGTTTTACTGTAAGGCCCGATATAATCTAGTTGGTCGATTTTAACTCATCGCCTTCAGATGTTCTCAAACATCTCTTCATTTTGAAGTTTTCCAAAACTCAGTTGGAATGCTAAGCGCGTTTCGTCGTGTTCGGGGATGTAATTTGAAGTACACAAAAGTAAGAGCACAGCCTTTTCTTGCACATCAAAACCTTGTGAGTTTGAAGGGTAGGGTGTGAAATCTACAGTGATTTTTCAGCTATAGAAAGCTGACTGTATGTCTTTACTGGATCAGTTATGAAGTGAGTAACCTTGATTTTCAAACTAGCATACGGAATAGATGGTAAGGGTTTGAGTTGAGCCTTACAGTAGTTCTCTTATAACCGCCAGTACGACCAGAATCGTCACTATCGGAATAGTGGATACAAGAACAGAGATGGAGTTTACGAAGGATTGGCTTCTTCTAAACTAAAAACGCCATATCCGTTCATAATCATTGCTAGCCTTTTCTGGAGTTGCCCTGCGAAATTTTGAAAACACAGGTTGTCCCGTAGGGACACCTGCCGACACTAAATGTATTCTTTTATATACAGCAATAATTTGCTACCTATTACTAACAGACTAACCACTGTACCACTCCGACAAGCGGTTTAGGCTGAAATAAAATCACCATCTTCTGCATGTGCGTCAGCAAAGTCATCGAATTCCCCTATAAGATCAACGAAATATAAAAAAACGTTTGAAGATTCGGAAAACGCATATGGAGGGGGGGGGTTAACTTTGAGTCCAAAGTCTTCTTGCAGTGATAGCGATAGAACTCCGCTGCAGTACTTTTACTAAACTATTGGGAGTGACTTATTCTTCGTCAGGAAAAGTATCTTTTTGGTGACCGGTGTAACTATGACGTTTGAGTAAACCTTTAATCACTTCGGGATCAAGCGAGAAAGATACCAACGTAGCACAAGTTACTAACTTTACTTTCGCAAATTATAAGGCTTTTTTTGAAGGAGTTCGCGTTGGTTCACTGCAATTGGTGGTTTCGATATTATGATATTTCTATGACCCATCACTTACAAGAGCAAAGAAAATTACTCTATCGCAAATGCAGAAACCGAATATGGTAGAGATTCGATCTGCACTATATAGAATGCCGGTAATATTACGCGGATATAACACCTGTGGACAGATAGATGTTTTATGCGTGACAAACAAACACTTGGAGCCAATTTAGTACGTTTACAGGTTCGTTTCGCTAGGAAATCAATTACTCAGTTATTTTAATACAAGATATTGTGTTCAAACCTATTCGTGCCTTTCTAGAAGCCTTGTTCTGTTTATTTAATGATGAGGATTGAAAGAAAAATATAAATTGATGATGTTAATAAATTGAGGTCAAATGTATTGGACATTGAATAGATCCTAAAAATAACACTTTCAAAAGTGTTACGAGTTTCTGCTTCTAATGCCTCCTTGGCGCTTATACTTTACTTACGTTTCCATAACTATTGGTAGTTCTTTCGTATTCGGATATCATACAGGAGTCATCAACGCACCATTATCGGTAGGCCTTCGAAAATGATGAGGATATTTTCTAAGCTCATCCAAAATTTCACGCAGAAAGTTATTGATGAAAGACGATACACATGTGGCTCTTCATGCGTGAGAGTGATTTTGTCAATATGCGTAACGGGATTCGTTATCGGCGGGTTGTTTGGGGGCCTGTTTGGTGGAGTTTTAGCTAACAGACTTGGTCGGTATGTCTCTAAACTGTAAATGACTTTAAAATTTAGAAGAAAAACATTGTTTCTTCTTTCCATTCCAACAATTTTAGGATCTGTACTCATCATGGTTTCTGTGTTCTTGAGATCATTCGAGGCTATCATATTCGGAAGATTTATAGTTGGTCTTTCTGCAGGTATCCGTTTTGAAATGTTTTCGAATGGTCTTTTAGGTGCTTATACAGTTGTAACACCTACATACCTTTCGGAGATTGCTCCAGTAAAGTCACGTGGTGCGGCAGGGGTTATGAATCAGTTTGTTACGGTGCTGGCCATTCTTTTATCACAGGTCCTAGGTCTGTCTCAAGTAATGGGGACGGATAAATTCTGGCCATTCTTGTTGGGTAATAATATAATTTTTATGATCCCGTTTCAGGTCTTTGTGCTCCTGTTTGTCTTTTGCATGTGATACTCATGACTTTTTGTCCTGAAAGTCCTAGCTACTTGTATTTAGTAAAGGGAGACAAAGATGCTGCAAAACATGGTACTTTTTCGTTAGTTAAACTCTTTAAACACTGTAGCTCTTTTGTTACTAAGAGGTAAGAACTATGATGTCTTTATGGAGCTTGACTCATTTCAACGAGACCCGGAATATAACACTAAACAATACTTTGGAATGGGTAACCTATTTCGAGTTCAACATCTCCGATGGGGTTTATTTGTTGCCCTTATTCCACATTTCGGGCAGCAACTCTCAGGAATCAATGGTGTAAGTTACTGATTGATTACTTTTACAATTATGATATATAATTTAAATTTATTCTAAATGATAACAAGCAATTTAACTTGAAAGCGTTAATAACATATTTTAATGAGCATCACTATCAGATTAGATAAGATACTGGCTATTTAATTTCAAGTTACATAACCCAGTGTGATAATTAGAAGTATTTGAATTTTTAGACGAACCAGGAATCTAAGAGCCAGAGCAATTTAAACCTCACAGAGCTGTGTGAGCACAGACGAACGTACTGTATTTAAAATCCAAAATCAGACAAACATCGAGTACAGAAGAATCATTAGTTCGTACAAACGCCATACCAAGCTAGCTGTTTCTTTTCTTGTTTGTTCAAGATTCGTCACCAGTCAAGAAAGTCATCATTTTATACAAACACTTTTGCGACTAGACTAGGCATGCAGAGCATAGATTCGTTTGGATGGTTTCACAATTAAATTCTATAATATTTCTATTACGACTTGAACATTGGAATCATTTATAAGTAAATCTTGATTTGCAGTAATCGGTCAATAAAGACTCTTAGAAGTACAAGAAACTAAAATTCATTGTATCAGTCAGTCGTCATTTACAGGAAAGTATATATTAACCAATTTTATCCCTACGCAAATGGATCAAACGATTATTTTTTTATATTCGTTGGTATAGTTTCAAATTTATGTATTATTTAAAGGCCATATTTTTAGTCATCACGGTCTCAACATTGTCATTATCAGCTTTTACTACAACTAATAAGATATCAAATTTTAATGTTTAGTAAAGTTTGAATAAAAATTGCTATGTCATATGATGGGTCAAGTTATAATACACATCTTGGTTAATCACTTAAATTTTTGAAGGTAAAATATTCCGACACTTTGTCTCGTATTAACAAATGTGTTTAGAAAACTGTAGAAGCCTAAAAGTTCATTTTATGAAGCCGTGATATTTAAAACATGATATTTCTGCGGGTCATAAATAAATCAGCTTGGTTTATTAATTTGATCATCAACTTAATGGTCTCATTCTCATCTTTCCGCCAAAACCTTTCAGACACATTTTAGCACATCCACTTTTTTTTTATAAATAATGAATTTAAAAAACACATAAAACATCAAAGTCATTTAAATTGAAGCATACAGAATTTTATGATTAAAAACCGGCATCTGATTGTCCCATATTTTGATTGCCTTTCATCTTAAAATTACTTTTGTATTAACAGCTTATCAAAGTTAATCTACCATCCTGTCTGAGACTAGATTTTTGTTTAACGCAATTAATGCTCATACATGAAACAAGTGATAAAAAAGACAGTTTCTCAGAAATTCTGAGATTTGTTAATAGCAAATAAGTGTATAAATGACATCAAACAGAAGCATAATTTTATGTTTTATTCTTTCTCAGCCTAGTGAAAAAACAAACTACTTACAAAGCCAACAAAGTGGGCTGCGGATTTGACTACTTGCCGTGGTAATAGAGCTGACATACAAAATGATAGCTATTCTAATGTCTTTATGTTTATTTGTCGGCTTGCATAGCGGAAAGTTTTAATTTTGAAAATCATTTTTTATTATTTAATTAACTGAAAATATTCTATTTCTCTGTATACAGAAAAAATAGAATTTATATTCCACCTCATACATTGCTTAGCCGTTTAGATAGTTGCAGAAGTTATAAAAACTTATTTCAATCTAAAGGTTTATTTCTTATAAGCAGGTGAATATTTTATTGTGCATTTGTGATCAAATATAAATGCATTTTATTTGAAACTCATTAATTACACCCACATGAACTGAGGAATTGTATTAGTAAAGGGCTATTTATATGTCTCATCTTATCCAACAAATTATCAGTTTTGTTGGTAATGTACCGCTTTTCGTTCTTTTGAGTACGGCATACATTTTCAGTCTTTTCACTCACTTTCTGAACCATATTCAAACGTTCATTATATTGCAATGATATTTAGTTACATTAGTTTCTAACTGAATAAATGTTTGTGAGTGCTTTGAACGCATTTTATGATTATACTTTAACACATCACAGGATGATGAAACCAGTCCAACGCAACAAAATAAGTAGAGGTTATATTGTCTATATAACTTATCTTTCTCTCTCAAATTGTTAAACGTTCATCTTAGTAAAGGTGTATATAACTGTTCAAACCATTCGCCGTTTCGAGGTTTGTCAACGGATTAAGCTCAGTAAGAGAGTAATCAGGTTTATGTCATGCAAAGTTTGATTCAAGACAATACGCAGATTTATAAAAAACCTCTTTGCTTGAATTAATATTAGACCTCTTTTATTTTTTTAACTTTAGGTTTTGTATTACTCTGTTCCACTATTCGAAAGTGTTGGTCTAACCAACAGAGACGCAAGTTTTGTCAATCTTGGGGTTGGAGCAGTTATTGTGTTAGGAACAATTATGTCAATATGTGTTATTGACAGAGGAGGCAGACGAATGCTATTACTCGTTGGATTTTCAGTATGCTTAGTCAGTTTAATTACATTCACAACAGTTTTGTCAGTTCAGAAGTTCAGTCATATATCTTGGTTAACCTACATTTCTATTCTTGTATTATACCTATTTGTTTCAGGATTCTCCTTTGGCCCAGGTATATAAACAATTTTTTCTGTTACTTAATCATCTGATAAAAACTAAATTTTAATCAAGGGTGTCTGTCAAAAAGCTAGGGTAATTTATCTGGGTAACATACAAAACCAATAAACAACATTGTGTACAGCTTGTACGTAAATACATAACTTTTTCATGGTAACTTAAACGTACGCAAATAACAATAATTTTGTTTGCTTATAACATCTGCTACTCTTCTATAAAGGTCGTTATCTGCAATTAGAATACTGTTTATGTGAATGTTAAGTTTATAAATTACATTAGTTGCGTGCTTACTTTGAGGTCTTATTCCAATTTTCGCAAACCTATTGCAAAATTTTGACATCAAAGTAAGCTTCACCGTCTGTGTGTTATAAAACACCAACAAACCTAACAATGTTGATTAGAAATTTAAGATCAGTTCATAAAACATAACGTCATCTACTAACTACCCCTAAATATTTGTATAGAACTGAAGATAACGAAGTAATAAAGTAATTTGGTTTTTAAAACCGCTATCGCTGGTAAGAATGTGTCCGACAAATGCATGTTTCAAGATAACAAAAGTGTTGTTTTGAATGAAATCAACGCAGTAACTGATACAATTATATTTGCCTAACGTTGTTATTCAAATTAAGGTAAATATAAAGCGAAAAGAATCTGGTCAAACAATGATGTTTTGTGGTTCTGGAATAAAGTGTGCTTATTAAGCGTAAACTTAAAATATGATGTGAATTACACAGGAAAAAATCTGTCAGTTTTACTGTTGTTAAAAAGATCAAAGAAAAAACATTTTCCACAAGCATCTGCCTGAATAGTTGACACTGCAGGACACTCAATAATATTTTTAATGTTCCATCAAATAAACAATTAACCTCACTATAAAATTCCACCCAGTTGTAGACTAAAGTAACAAATTTACTAGATTTCACTACTTCTCATGATGCCTGTGATCACTGTCACTTGTATACAACGAATAATTGTTGATTTTATCTTTATAATTTCACTCCTCATGATTTATGATCTTTATTATATTTTCCGGTTACATTCTTAGTTCCCCATTAAACAGAGTCAAATAGTTGTTGAAGTTAGTAGTGTTTAAATTAACTCTGAAAGTTTGTTTTCAAAATATCTGTTTATTGGCAGTGGAGTAATTCATTAAAAATTTATTGTTTTCCAACAGAAATCAAAATGTTAATATATGTTAGCATGTTTACAAAATGTGAGGACACTTTAACATTTATTTAGATATCCAGGTTCAAATAAATTTTATATAGGTGAATTTGGTACTGAAAGAAGATACTTTGTCGATAGATTGGACGGTTCAGTGAAGACAAGTTTCTTTTCTGTGATTTTATCAACAGCGGCTGTATTGTAGTGAATGAAGGCTCGGGTGGGAAAGGCCAATTTATTGTTTAGTGTGAAATTACAGTGTCTTGATAAATTATGAAAACCATACATTAAATACTTCAATTGTACATCTTTCATGATCCTCTCAATCCTCAATTTCTTTATGTTTCCAGTTTTGTTTTCTTTAGTTCAATCTTCTTAACCTTCTTTCGACAGACATTCCATTTCTGATCGGTGTTACATACTACCTATATCTGTCGACATAAGTAGCATACATCACAGTACCATCGTGTTTACAGCTATTTAACACAAAAATTAATTGAAAAAGAAAATTTATTACTAAGTGACTAGAAATTTCATATATAGTGCTTTAAACGGTCCTGCGAAAAATTTACGGTTGTTTTTTAGACTAATATGAGTAAGGTAAAGAAAAACCTTTTGATAGCTGATCAGTAATTATTGAAAATCGTAGAGTAATATCAGCTGATTAGTAAATATGGAAAATAGTTGAATAAACGTATCCATAAAAATTAGTGTGAGTCTAAAGGCGTGAGATATCTAAAATTGCTGATAAACGGAAGTTAGTGATCTGTAATCATATAACAGGTAAAAATTAGCATTTATCAAGTATGCACATTTTAAAGCAAGTGAATCGCTTGCTTAATATAACTTGCCTTTCTGCAGTTATAATAATCTTATGGAATTTTCAGGCTCTGTTCCTTGGTTCCTCGTGGCTGAACTATTCACTCAAGAATACAGAGATGCTGCACAAAGTGTGGCTGTGGGTACAAATTGGTTGTGTAATATTCTGGTTGGACTTCTTTTCCCTCAACTACTCGTAAGTTTCGATAATGTTTAAAAAAGATGTTTAGTTAACAGCCTTTCACCTTAAATGTTTGTCAAATGTTAGAAAATCATAAACAGAACTTTTATATATTAATCTGGGAATTATAAAACTATTTGCTGAATAAATTCAACTGAATTTATGAATTATGACTGAAATCAGATGTTGACAAAAAGTATATTAAAAGGCATATGCATATTTATAAGCGGAATCCTGTACGAATCATCCTTTAAATACGTCATATGGTTTAGGATATAAAGTCTGCTTCCAATCAACCTATTACAAACATGACATATAGTTCTGTCTCAACATGGTTCAATGTTAATATGGGTATTTCCTTCACTTAATCATGTGGTCGAATTGAGAGCCCAGTTTAATAAGCTTGGTTTACCAAACAGACGTTCTCGGGCACTCCTCACCATACAGCTTTCCAAAAACAGGAGTGTGTGAGAATCGATTCAACTTTATTTTTTATAAATATGTTATGACCGTGGACCTCAGTTTGTATAATTTGAAGTTTCTGTACGATATGCATTCATCAGTTCTGATCATCCATTTACGTTTGGTTTAAGAAATAAGTGTATTTATTTAATTAAAGGATATTATTCCAGTTGCATCCTGCCAATTATTCATCTTTGTATAGATTTCTGGGTTCAGGTGTGATAATTTGTTTGTTGTGAAATCACCCTAATAAATCAACGTTATGTGAACATGGTTAAATTTTCAACTCAATCTTTTCCCATCTATAAATAACACATTTTGTAAGTCAATGTAACGTTTTGTTTACATATGTTCAAACAACATTGAAAATCAACTAAATAATTGTTTATGTGAACAAAATTATTTGCATCCTAATATTTTATTACACAAAGATATTTCGAATTTTTAAGCCTCTGAAAAAGTACTGAACTGAGTATTATTAAAAATTATCAGAGCTCTTTTATTTTGATAGTTAATAAATTTGAAACAATCGAAGAATTATTTCATGAGAGAGAATTCTCTTAGTCCTACATCAACTCATTCTACAATAAGATTTTTTGAATGTTTATCAGTTTGATCAGTAAGCTTATTGTGATTTGTTTCTGTAATGACAAACGAAAATCTCAATGCATGAAAACAATCCTATATATTTAAGTGATATCATAGATATTTTTGAGTTATTTTGATACTATATAAAACAAGAGTTTGTCTCATTTAATATTCGTCAGGCAAGTAGATATGCATTAGTCGCTGTGGAGACTATAATTTAAACTAGAAAAAAGATGAATTGCGTCTTTTATCAGTAATCTTTACAACGTACTAAGGAAAAATTACATGCTTTCAATGGCCGACTTTAACTTTTAACAACAAAAATGGAACTTCAGTATGAAGGTTAGTTACATGCAGTGTATAGTTTATCCGTCATAGGAACGTTTACCTACGAGATCTAATTGAAACCAATAGTATAAAATACTAAGTTTTTGTTAAGCATTTGGTGATTCAACGTGATATAGGCAAGTATTTATTCTTTTGAGTAATTCATTGATATACGAAGAATGATATATTATTTATTTTCAACTATTAATTGATTACGGATATGCGTAATTGTTTACCTTGTTGTAAGTGGTATAGGTGTCAAACATTTTACATGAGTTTTAAACAATTTTCATGCACTTAGTGAAGAATTTCTCTGAGTCTACTAACGACTTAATGCTTCGTAAATTCAACTAAATGACTCATCTATATTTCACTTGAAAACTACCGTTAAGTTAATTTTCATGTTTGCATACACAGAAAATTTATATGTTATCAAATAATCTCATACTCAATAAATTTCCAGTGAAATGATATTAATCTTTATTTGAAAATGAATTTAGACTTTCTTTTAATCAGTTATCAGTTCATTTTATTGAATCAAATTTTCATTGTGAAGTTGAATTCGGTAAAAGCTGTGCTTAAACTTATTAGTTGTGTTTACACTTTCTAGTATTGTGTACTAAATATTAAGTTATATGAATCAATTCTGTTCTATAAATTTATTTTAGTGAAGTTGTTTTTTTGTTTATTGGAAGATGTGTTGTTGTTATTAGAGAACGAAATGGAATGAGTGTAATACAAATAGTCTTTAACTTCTGTTAAAACTCTAATTAAAACACAATACAAGATGCTCTGAGCTACAAACTATTCACATTTATCTTTCTCATGTTTGTCTAACTCTTTATCAGTCACATCATGATATAGTTTGGTAACTTTATCAGATTTGCAGTTAGGGTTAAGTTTTGTTTTACTTTGACTTGAGAAACATTTCGTTACATTCTATAGTAATAGAAATATATCTTGATTTAGTATATTCACTTTTGATGTCCCTTTGAGAAGAGCGATTTTCTACACGAATTATTTATATCTGTATTCACTTTTATTTGATATCATATAGTCAGTGTTAAAGAGTAATTCTAACCTTTATTTTCTGAAAGTTTTGAGAACTTTAGATATGCAGATAGGATCTTTACAAACACTGAATACTCTTTTATTTCAGTTACATTTCAGAAGGATGATAATTTATTTATCTTCATTATAAGTGAAAATAAGAGAAATTCAAAAGCATAGTCATCTTCGGTAATAAAAAAAGGTTGCCAATTGTCTACTTTAACATCATTTCTTCATTGTCTGTTAAATCTGTATTGTTTGTAGATATAATTAAAGTTGAAGCAACACAATTAAAAAAGCATTATAATGAATAAGATTCTGGGCTTAAATGTGACATTTACTGACACAGGATCACTAAGCTATTATTTTTCTTTACTACTAAAGACTTAAGATTTGGTCATCATTATCCTCACAGAATGAATGTACTTTTTCGAGGCTTCAAAAAGTTATTTATCTATTTCCAAAGTTTTATTTGATAACGAAAATAAATTACACATAATTATATCTCTGGTATATTGATGTACAATATTCTCTGCAATAATAACGGGAAAACTGTACCTGAAATCGGATAAAACAGTCATAATAATATTGCAATATAAAATATTTTCTATTTCATTAATTAACATTGTTTAAATCTTTTTTTGTTTTTCAGGCGCTTATAGATTGTTTTGCCTTTGTACCATTTATTTGTGTGCTCATAATTGTGATTATTCTAATTGCTTTATATTTACCGGAAACAAAAGGATTCAATCCAGTTTATATTGAATCAGTTTTCAAAGCTCAATGTAAACATTCAACACTTATGCCGGTCAGTTAAAGTACCTTTAACCCCAAAAATATTTTTATATCAAAAGACTAAAAGCTAAATGTTACCTTATGTTTCATATTAAAACTATGCAAAATATATACATATATGTGTACATTGCGAAAGGTAGTTTTGTGGAACTTTTTGCACATTTTGATAATAATTGTTATCATAAGTTCTGGTCAGTTGATCAACTGTTGACAGTCATTAAGCATTAGGGGCTACTGAAAAGCTTCAAGATGGATGTTTCTAAATTCTTGTGCACAGCTATGAACTGTAGACTTGACAAAATTGAGAATCAGGCAATGATGTGAAACCACATTAGGGTTGCGATGTTCCATACATACACATATGCATTAATGCAAAAAGACACATAAGGACCAAGTAAAACAGTTTATTTTTATTTCAACATCCCTCTGAAAAGAAACAAGAAAAAATTGAGATTTCTAGAGATATGGTATCAAAGTTAAACAGGTTTATTCCGTTTTAATGAGTACATAATTACTTATTCAACTTCTGTTAACTAGATTAATATAATGTAACTGAATGAAAATCGTATTTCATCTGTTCAGTTGACAATTCATTGTGAACTTAGTAGCAACTGATTATTTGCATTATTTTTATAGTTTCACTAAATAAAAAACTCACAAAATAAGTCTAATGATTTTAGTGAGTCAATCAAAGACTTTCGAGGTGTTGTTTTATAAGAAGCTTCTAATGAATTAAAATGTTTACTGAGATATTGCGTAATTTATTACACTAAATGGAAGTAGCTTTACGTTATTTTCATTAAATGTATTTGTCTATAGCTTTTACATGAGTTAATATCACTTAGTCAGTTGGATGTTTACATAACGTGTTCGTAAATATTTTGTATTTTAGTGTGCAAATTTTTTACTTCGAAGATCAGTAATTTAGAAATTAAGTCTAGTTTTTCCAATAATAGCTTTAATAAATTATTTTAATACCTTTCATATGAAAGAAAACTGGAAATTTGTACCGTTTTTCTATTATTACTTAGAACTAAATGTGTAAATCATTAGACTGTTAACAAAACTAATGAAAACTGTTAGGTTTTGAAATAATACTTGCTTGTGCGAATGACTAACCTAAGCCTTTCTGTTTAACAATGATAGCATTAAACCATAAGCTTGAATAATAAACGAAACTTCTTCATTTTTAATAAAAGTAAACTTTGGTTAGAGGTTCGTAAGAGTTTTCAAAACAATTCATATTCATGATTTAGTAATTTAATTAATTGCATCACAAAAATTTGTAAACTATCTGACGGTTATTTTCTCACTAATAGTTATAAATCTATAATATACACATTGCTGTAATTGAAACCATTTTACCCATTAAGGCATTTTATTGAAATAAAACCTTCTGCTATACACAGATGATTATTGCTTATCGAGTAGTAATCAACGTGGTGTTTGCCATATTCTGTATATTGGTCGAATTCCATCAATTACGTAAAAATGTGGTGACCAGCATAGGTGACTTGGAATTATGTTTACTATATTTGGACGTTAGATGTTGAGAGGAAAACGATAGGAAGCTCTGGACTTTTTCTTCTCATTAATTTGCATTTATCAGCAAGATATATTTGGGATTTTTAGGTGAATTGATTAGACTGGTGATTATATCAAAATCTTAATCGATAGAAAGACATGAAACTAGTTACTCTAAAGAGATGAGGAAGTTTAATTATCCCAGTCATATAGCGGGTCACTCGTTATGCGACTAGTTCAGTGGTGACGTCAGTGACTGTGACTATAGACTTCTTACCGTCTGATTTCAAAGTTAGACCATTTTGTATGAATGTTTCATCGAAAAATAAATATCGTACTAATATCTTGGGTAGTTCAAATATAACTGCGTCAAAATCAATATCATCTGAAAGTCAAAATAATTTTTTATATACTTCAGTAGAACTCACATTATTGGTGTGAGTAAATAAAGCATTGATTTGTATGTTGGTTGTATTAAGCATACGTTTCTCTTGTTAAGTGTTCAAGAGTGGTTCTTACGATATAAGTCTTATTATGAAGTGAGATACTGCTGAATTCCTATTGTGTCTACATGTCTTAATCAAGGTTAAGATATTGGAACCGCTATGGTATATTACTATACAATCTGATGTATATACATCCTATTAGATTGAGTAAAACATTCATTTTGTCCCAAATTGGATAGTTTTGTTGTAGCCCAAATATTATAATTGGTCAATTATTAATGTTTTTGTCTTTACAATATATTGAAAATAGTATTAGTTCTTGAACTAAAATAAAACCAAAATGACACGAGATAGTATATGTATTTAGTTGGTCTTTCGATTTGTTTTTTTCGCCGACACTTTATCTCATTTCTAAGTTGTTCTTTCTTTTTCTTAAATTCATGCTGTGAAATGATCATTCAGACAATCAGTATTTCGTACTGATCAATAGTGAATGAACTATAATGTCACACCTTAATTTTCCATTCTCTTTTTGTTAATAATAACAAAATTTAATTTCAATTTGTTTCAAATATTATTAAATTTAAACTGAGATTTGTTGTAAATAAAAAATCTTCATTAGCTAATTTCATTATGTTTACTTATAATTGAACAATAGAATACATAATTACATTGTTATCTTAGTATCTTAAGTCATTATATATGAAGAATAAAACTTGACATTATTATAATTTCATTTAGTCTATTCATATATTTGCTAAATGAGGAAATTAATTTGTAAGTGATCTATATATTAATCATTCAGTTATTTTATTATATGACCTATACCTAAACACTTATTAGATATAAAATATAAAGTACAAAATTCATTTTAATATTATTACAAATTGAATAAGGTATATACATATTAATAGCATAATACAAGTTACATTATTGTATTATTATGCAATTGTTTATTGAATAAAATTCTCATTAAAATATTGAATTGTAATTGAATATAACATAGTTAAATTTAATGTAATTTGTATATATGTTTTATGATAAATGTATTTAAATACTGAATGAAATTTCATCTTAAATATAATCACTACTTATATGATTATGTGTAATTCACTTAAGTGTTTCTTTTGCATAGATTTTCCATATGTATCCAATGGAAACATTTTTAATTAATCAAAAAGTAAATATATTCAATAGGCGAATTGTGATTAAATTAATAATATAGGTTGTTTCATTGATAAGATTATAATTAGTTGAATATATATATTTGTCCATAATTTCAGGGTGATCCAATTTCACATCATTAATCAATAGCTTAAATAAGGCAGAGCTTTTAAATGAAATATAAATATTTACAAGATCATTTCTATGCTCTGTTTATGATGACAATCTGATGATTTCAACAAATTCAGATTAATTTAATAGTTTATTTGATATTTTCAGATAGGGGTTTGGTGGATATTATAATGATTTTTATTAGTTCAATTGATGAGTCAATTGAAGTTAGACCACCATGGAAAACCTGAGAGCACAGGACGGTCGTTTCGTTCTAGTATGGGACTCCTCAGCAATGAGCATCCACGATCCCGAAGTTAGACATTTACATCGTTGAATGTCTGATCAGTGGTCTAGAGATTAAGTGCTTGTACGCTAGACTGATAGGTTGTGGGTCCGAATCTCGCGATGAGGGATCGTGGATGCGCATCGCTGAGGAGTCCCATACTAGAACGAAACGGCCGTCCAGTGCTTCCAAGTTTTCCATGATGGTCTAGCTTCAATTGACTTATGAATTCAAATATTAAAAAATTTTTAATATTTGTTTTAAACAGTGTCAATTGTTTCCATATTTTTCCTTTTTTTTCTTTTTTTTTAGATAAAACGATTTTAATCATCAGTTAAAATTATTTAAAATTATACAAATCAGTGCAGTACCATCATTGAATTCGATTTGTAAACGTCATTTTGAAATGTTTTATATTACAGTAAAATGATCAATAAAATTATCCCGTTGATTAATATTGATTCATATTACACTTCTGATCATAAAACAAAATATGACTGTTTATAGCAGATATAATTATTCGATTGTTTTTATCATTTATTCATATTAACTAAATTTTTGTTTATTAATTTAATAAAATTTAATGATTTAGAGTATTTTTTTTCATTGATTATTATCTAAAGTCATGGATACAATAATAATAAAATCATTTAATGAAGAAAATTTGTTGCCATTTCATTATTTCAATTTTGTTTAATCAAGTAAATGGAAATTCACTTTTAAAGCAGATTAAATAAATCGAGTATTCATTTGATAATTATGAGGTTTTTGGTATAATTTACTAAAAAATATAACCTTTTTGATTACAGTTTATTGTGATTTCTGATGGATGAAGTATCAAGGTGATGTGCTTGAATATCTGGGTGACCTGTTCCTGACATCTAGATATTTCAACAAGTTATCTGTTTTCTTGTTTGTTTTAACGCATCCTTATGCCTATTAGTCGCATAACCTATTCAGGTGCGTTTGTGAAAGGTTTTTGACATTTTGCTGCATAAATTATAAAAGATCCTAATCATAGACATCGTGGTTGTTGGCAATATGGATCGAAAATAATAAACATTATTCAGATATCGATTCCTGAGCTGATAATATCTAACTGGCGATCAGTCAATATTTATCGCAAGAATCAGTCAAGAAATAAGAAAAGGAAACTTGTTGAAAGACTTCGTGCTGGGAATTCTATATTGTACCAAACATATAATATTGAGCAATGCCATCAGTAATAATAATAATAATTCATTAAAGTATACTTAGATTAAGTTTATTTTTGAAATAGTTTTATAGATGAATTTAAGCTACGTCTGTGTAGAATTTCTAATCCTTCCACATTTTATAACAATCTCATTTGTATACAAAATGTGGTAACTCATATTATGTCTATCATAATTATTTATAATGTACTCTCTAAAGACGTGTCTTTGTTAAAGTTACAATTTAAAGTAATAAAACGAACTAACCTTTTGAAAACGTCTAACTGGGAAAAAATTATTTTTCATGCTATCACTGAGTCAAAAATGGACTACATCTTTTCATTTGTTTTTCTATTAAGGACGTGTTCGTATAAAGGTTTGTTTAGGTTGTTGAATCTTTAAAGTTCGCATTACGGATAACTTAGTTAAACTACCATTGAAAGTCACAAGGCAGTGAACAACCGTTTCGTTCTAGTATGGGACTCCTCAGCAATAGATATACAGGACCTCACTAAGGGTGACCAAACCCGGAACCTTCATATTTCAAGGTAAGCACTTAAACTTTATGCAGCTGAGTCCCAACCAAAGGTGTGCTAGTCTAACTACGGTCATTTCAAGATATTATTCAACCCCTTGCCATTGTCTTCGACGGGTAGGTTCCTCACATTCAACATGATTGAACTCCACTGTTTACGGGTTCTTACTAGTATTTTTGGAATAATCCCATCGTATTAATCCATAATGAGTGATTAGTAATAATAATCATTCTAGTCCACTGATTTCTGATTTTTAATGGTTGTTTTGCTAAAACAGTCTGTAATGTAAATTATGAAGAGATATAATTTAATCAGGGATCAAGTGAAAGTAAGTTCATTTTTATGAATAATTAACCATGCATCTGTGAAACCTGTTCACAGAAAAATACACCAGCTTTTCAAAAACAGACTTTCAGAAATTCAAAAACTTATTTATTTTCGGGATGTTTTACATTCACTGAAAAAGTTTTAATCCACTGAAATAGTTATTAAGAACGTTTTAATGTAAATAGATAAAGATTATCATTTTACCAAGAATTTTTTTCATTTTTTTATCGACTTTGATGCACAATAATTCTATGATGTCGAGTATGTAAAGTAAATCTAAGCTATATAGTTTTAAATAACTTCCTGACAAATTTTCACTTATATAGTCAAAAGTGAGAGTTCATAACACATGGACATAATTTGGGCTTAGAACCCTCAGCAATACATAATACTGTCAGTATGCAGTTACATTGTAAACTTGTAGTACATATTGCGTAAAAGCTGGTTGTGGTCTCCTAACATAACATATTATATGGTTAACCACCATCCAAGTACGTCAGCAGTTAGATTGCAGTTCAGTTTTAGATTGATCACAGGCTTGATGTGATACATGAACATCGTAGTTTTTAGAAACTCCGCCTTTGCTCTTCTAAGGTTGCTGAAGGTCCCAAGACCGGGTAAAGTAGAAGGGTTGGGCGTAGGGTCGGGGACCTTGCTAAAAAGCGCTAAAAATAGTAAGTATAGTTTTTAGCATGTGATCTACTATGATTTTACACTACTTTTGAAATGAAATCTGAAATAAAGCAATTAACCAATGGAAACAGTTTTCATTGGTTTTTAAATAAGCCTTTTAACAAAATAATAACTACCAGTAAGTAGTTTCGTTTACTTGACAATATCATCCTGAACAGAAAACCAGTAAGAATGATACTAATGACAGTATTAGTTTATGATATTATTCTATAGTATATTTAAACTTAGTGGGACAATTAATGCATTACCTTAACATGATTGCTGAAAACGTTTTCTCCTCCTAGAAAAACAGTTCTCATTCAAGTGGGCATTGAAAATTTGTCTAAATATGACATATGAAATATTTCTTTTTTTTTGAAAAAGTTGATGAACTTTCGTCAGAATTTCTACAGGGTAATTTTAGTAAATAGTTTTAATTTGATGTATAGGATTTCTACAATAACAATTACATAATTTGAAACCAAAATGCCAGAATCAATTTGTTGCACTTTTAAAGATTAATTGTGCTAATCGACATCTCTGCATGTTATTACAAATTTATAACCATTCGAGTTGAACTAGTTAGAGCTAATAGGGGGAGGGGCAGTGTGCTTTATTTCCATAATTAGAAAGTTTAATTTTATCTACTTTTCTTTTAGTAGTTTTTAAATTTGTAGAAAACATTTATTTGTAATTTTGGATCAAGTAATGTCAGTCACTTAGCTGAACATAAAGTAGGACATGGTACTTGTGTACATTAGTTCAAGTTACCATGACCAAATGGCCAAACGAGATAAAATTGTTAGGGGAAATCTTGGAGTAGTAACAGTATAAGTGGTAATAGATAAAATTAGGTATCGGAGATGTGATTCAACAAAATCGTGTGAAATGGACGTGTAGAAACTTAGTCAAAGATAAAGTGACACTCGATTCATCGCTTAATAGTTTACCTATGCATGTTACACCTCGTAGAGAAACATAGGCTACCCACCAGCATTCTCCATACAACTCCGTCCTGGACAATACTTTCCACTTGCTATTCATCTTTTTCATGTCTGCTTTCAACTGTCGACGCATTGTTTCCTCTGACCTCCCTGTTTCCTTTCAGGAATCTAGGTTAGCGATTCTTCATGGTGCAGTTTGTTGATTTCCGTAATGTATGCCCTATCCACTTCCGGCGTCTTTTCCTAATTTCCTCTTCAGATAGCAGCTGGGTTGTTCTCTCACAGAGTAGGTTGTTGCTGATGTTATCTGACTAACGAACATTGAGTATGTTATGTAGGGGATTGTTAAGAAATACCTGTAGATTTTTGATGATGGTTGTAGTAGTTCTCCAGGTTTCAGCTCCGTACCGTAGAACTGTCTCGAATTTCGAATTAGAGATTCTGACCTTGATGTTGATTGACAGTTGTTTCGAGTTCCACATGTTCTTCAATTGTGCGAATGCTATCCTTGCTTTTCCAATCCTTGCATTTACGTCTGTATCGGGTCCTCCTTGTCCATTTATGATGCTGTTCAGGTAAGTGAACGTTTCCAACTCTCCCAGAACTTCTCCACCAAATGTGATTGGTTTGGTGTTCTCTGTGTTGCATTTGAGGACCTTGCCTTTTCATTTGTGTGTGTGTTGAGGCCTCTACTACACTGGTTGTTTTGACCTGTATTTGATCGCATGTATGAGATAGAAGGGACAGGTCATCTGCGAAGTCCAAATGTTCTAATTGATTCTGAGCTGTCCATTGTATTCCGTGCTTCCACTCAGATGTGGAGGTCTTCATAATCCAGTCAACCACTAGAAGAAAGAGAGAGGGTGAGAGTGGGCAGACTTGTCTGACTCCGGTCCTTACTTGGAATACGTCTGTTAGCTGTCCCACCGATGCACCACTTTACAGTGTAGTTCGTTTTCTGAATTTCGTATTATGTTGACGATCTTCTCATACTCACCATAGTGTCGGAGAAGTTTCTATAATGTTCTTCATTGTACGCTGTCAAACGCTTTCTCATAGTCAAGGAAGTTGGTGAAAAGTAACGAATTCCATCCAAACTATTGCTCAACAATGATCTGTAGTGTGGCAATTTGATCTGTGCACGACCGATCCTTATGGAATCCGGTCTGTTGACCTCGGAGTTGGGCGTCTACTGAATCCTCCATCCAATTCAGAAACACTATTGAAAACTCTTCCTGGTACCGATGGTAGTGTGATGCCTCTATAGTTCTCACATTTGCTCAGATCTCTTTTCTTTGGTATCTTGATGAGGTGTTCTTTCTTCCAGTCAGTCAGTGGCACTTGTTCTCACTCTTAAACCTTACTGAATAGAAGGTGGAGCATCTTTTCAGTTACTTCTAAATTTGACTTCAGTGCTTCAGTTGGTATATTGTCAGGTTCCGCTGATTTCGCACATTTGATTTGACTGGTGATCAGCTTGATTTCTTCGATTGTTGGTGCGGTAACATTTATAGGAATGTCTGTGTGTGCTGCTTCGATGTGCGTTAGCCTGTTTAAGAGTTCCTTAGTGTTCTGCTCATCTGTTTCTCTGTTCTTGAATCTCAATGATTGGCTTGCCGTCTTTGTCTCTGACTGGTTTACTATATCTCCCTACCAGTTTCTTCGTTGTGTCATATAGTTGCTTTATATTTCCTTCTGTTACAGATTTTTCCACTGTCACTAATATGTCTTCCACGTACTTCTGATTTTCAGCTCTCATGCTCTTATTCACTTGCTTGTTTGCTTCAGTGTATTCAGCTTGTGTCTTGACTTTCTCCGTTCTTGTTAGTCTGTTGTTAATTGCTGTTGGTTTTGTTCTTCTTTTCTTAGATCTTGTCCAGGGTTTCGACAGAGATCCATTCGTTGTGATGATGATTCCTCTTGAAGTCTAGCATTTCCTGATACGTTGAAATTAGTGCTTCTTTCATCTCTTTCCAAATGTTCTTCATGATAGTTGTTTCATCTTCCAGCAGATCTTGTGAATCTTCGAACTTGTTGTTGAGAGTTATCTTGAATTAGTTGAGTTTATCAGTATCTCGAAGGGATGTTGTATTAAACCTTTGTAATGTTGCTTGTCCAGTTGTCCATTGCTTCTTT